CCGAGAGGGTAGACCCTGGGGGATCCGGGCGAATCGTCGCCTTTCGCTTCTTCTTAGCCATCATCGTTTGTTCAACCTCAACAAGCACGTCATCACCATCTCTCTCAACGTTGTGAGCTCGTGAATCAAGCGAAGAGGAAGAAAGCGATGACAGTGAAGCATCAGCAAAACCAGGCGGAAGTAGCGGATCCTCGTCGTTCAGAAAAATCGGGCTGCCAATATCCTCACGACGGGACCTCGGGTCTTCGTCGTCACCGGGCCTCCTCGAGTCGTCATCTCCAACATGAGTCTTCGGGTCATTGGCAGCAATGTTCGACGAGTCTTCGGAGACATCGGCGTCGACCTCATCGGTTCCGCGAAGATGACGCTGTGAGAGATCGAGTTTATCGCGATGACGAGTCCCCGAAATCACGTTCTCGGGATAAGTCTTCTTCGGTCTCATCGGGTCATCAGAGCACTGATTCGGGGACATCGGGGCGATGCGCGTCGGGACTTCGGTGACAAGGGGCCGATGTGTCGAAGCAGAGGAGAGCTCGCGACAAGCGGTCCCCGACGCGAAGACTTCGGCGTCGTGCAAAGAGGACCTCGCGTCTTCGGGGGCATGGCGAGAAGACCTCGTGTCTTCAATGCCGAGATATACGATCCTCGGGCCGTCGGCGGTGGAAGCGATGACCTCATCCTCGCCGGTCTTGTCGACAACATATACGCCACGGTCATCTTTGTCAAAATCGGATTCCGATTCAAGTCTCCCCATTTCCATAAACACAAAATCGCCTACATACATCCAATTTAGGGATTAAAGGTCAAACAAAAATGAAGAACAAGTTTCATTCATCTTCAATGGACAAGATGCAAAGGAAATTATAAAAAAAAAATCAACACAATCAAAGCTTGCTCCATTGACAATTGAAGCTTGTCGATTGAACCAAGGGTTCGAAAATTCTTCTTAGCAATCTACAACACCCAATACTCGATAAAGCTACCCTCCCTAAAATCTAGATCTATAAGCTTGGGTTCTTGGTGAACTATGAGGGTCTTTGAAAGCAAACGACAAGGGTACTAACCAAAAGGATGCAAGTGGCGATTGCAAAGCAAGAGACGTCGGCGATGGTAGGAAAACGCGACGACAGCGGCGGCTGGAGAGCTCCTCGTTGGTGGCGGCGGAAAGGTGGAGAAGAAAAGGGGTCCAAAAACCTT